AATGTTGAACAAGCAAATTACCTAAAATAAAGCCTGTTAGAAAACATCATGAGAAGAAATAAAATGTCATTCAAGAGGCAGGGTGCTGTGATGGAGAGAGGGCTGATGGAAGCGTCTGAATTCTAGCTCCACCTCTAACTCTCTGTGTGATCCAGGGCAAGCTCTTTCCTTCTCTGAGTCTCAGTTTCCTTTTTTGTAAAACAAAGGATCTGGTCTAAATCAGCGATTCTCAGTCCTGACTGGACTGTGCTTAGGAACCATCCAGTGAACTTTTGGAGAATGTCAGTGCCCAGGCCTCACCGGGTGGAGAACCACTGGCTCTGAACGATGGTCAACGTCCTTGCCACATCTTCTATTCTGTCATTCCATGAAATGTCTGCAATTTGTTAATGGAAATCTGGGTTCAGATGTGTTGGAGGCATAAGTCCTCCTTACTGAATAGCAAATTTAGCAAATTCAACTGAACAAAGAAATGAGAATTAAGCATCTACTCCTTACAAAACACTAGACCCTTTAGGGGTTCCTGCACTCAAAGATCTCATTGTGTGGCCAGATAGACTTCCACGTACCCAAACAATTATAAGTAAAATGGATGGACATTTGCCTCTTTAAAAATTCATCATACCTGTGTATAATATGGGTAATTCCTTTAACTTCTGTTAGGCTTTCCCCACCCCCAGAAATTCGGAGCCTGTGTTCTGCATTCTTGCTTGTATTTCTCAGCAAGGGCAGGGAGGTGGAAGAGATAGATCCCCTGATGCACAGAGACCTAGCAGCCAAAGCAGCCTGTTTGCCTCCCTACCCAGTGGTCTTTATCTATACCCAGCCTGACCCCTGTGTGATGAAATTCAGAAGTGGCGTAGCATCAGTTTTTATTTTTAATGTTTATTGAGTATTTACTATGTGCCAGACAGTATTCCAAGATTTTTATGGATGTTAACTCATTTAATCTGTAAATAACCCTATGAGGTAAAATCTATTTCTTTTCCCATTTCACAGATGAGGACAGTGAGGCGGAGTGCACATGTCACTTGTCCAAGGTCACACTGCTAAGTGGGGAGCTGGGATTCAAACCCAGAGACTGGCTCTAGAACTCACACTCCGATCAGTTGCGAATAGGTCTGTGTCCTGAAATGTTCTTATGGCTGCCCAAAATAATGCTTTCAAAGAATGAATTACATGGGAAATGTTGATGTTAAAATGTTAAGTGAAAAGTTAGTAAGGTAAGCCTTTATATAAGTGCTATGGTAAAGACTATGCAAAATCAAAAGAAAACACAAATTACTAAAAAACTATATATGGTAAAAAAAAAAAAGATTGGAAGGAAAATAGGAAAATATTAACAGTACTTGGGGAATGGGATTACAGGTGATTTTTAAATTCTTCCGCGCGCGCGCGCGCGCGCGTGTGTGTGTGTGTGTGCATTTTTTCATGAGTATGCTTTTAAAAAAAATACTCTCAACTTCCAGCGGCAAGTAAGTACTCTTAATATTTTGCTGTAAGAAAAC